TTTTTTTAATATAAAGTGGTTAAAGGAGAGTGATGAGAGCCATTTTTAAATGTGCCTTCTCAATGCATTTTGAGTATTTCGTCTTCTCATTTGAAATCTAGTAAGACCACCTTTTACTGCAGGATTACGACAGATATATTAATGAACTCGCGAAATCCCTGAAATCTGCCCTTTATGATTCCGGGAAAAAAAGTAGGAAAGACCGCTCTAAAGATCATTCTAGCGAAAAGGTACGTGGAAAGTTTTATCACTAAATGGAACGATATCGTTTTTATTATAATTAAGGCACCGCTAGCAAAAATGCAAGCTGAAATTGACAACTACAGAAGCGCCTTAAGCTGTCTGGTAAGCCACGCTTATAATTTTCATACTTTCATGAAGTCGCTGTCCGTAAAAATCTTATTTTCAGGCGGAGCTATTGAAAGAAATTGAAATGGGAGTTGAAGAACGCGAATCTTTCTACAAGGATAAGGTTGCATCCTTGGAAAATGCGCTTGAAAAAGCTGTAAGGTTTACTGTTTTTCAAATAATTCATTGATATAGTGGAGTTGAAGTTATCAACATTTCACTTGGTTTGTTCAGCGTGGAATTTACAAGTTTTATTTCAAAAAAGGTATTTTCTTGAGCTTCAAGTTTTTAAAGAGACGTTTTTTTTCGGTGAAACATCAGCGCTACAGTGATTTTTTTCCTGTATATTGCTCGTGCTATTATTTGCTTTTTTTGCTTCGCTTTCTTGCCATAGTCGCTTGCATTCTGTTCAAAAGCATGCTTTCGTTTGCCATACCATTTGTTTCGTGTTAGGCAAGTGTTCTCTGACATTTGTTCTGTATAAGCATCCTAAGTTTTAGTGTGCAGTGAGCAGGTAACCCTGTGTTCAGAGTGCTGTGGCAGCTTCGTCTGACCGTCTTAAACGAGAGCTTAGGGAATGTGAGCTTCTGAAAAAGGTTTGCATGTTTTGTAGACGTTTCAGAGTGGATGCATGTCTGATTGCTGCTATTCTAATTGCTTGCTCAATTTACTTCACTTTACTGCATTGTCTAGAAATTTGTCTTGCTGACCGCTGTGTTGACCCTAAAACTATAGTATGTGGCGTTTTTGGAAAATTCCGCGGGAAGGATGTGGGATGAATATCAGCAATAAAGGGGTAGGGAATGGATTTGGGCGGAGCTTGAAATCTATATGGATGTAATCAGTCTGAAAGATCTGAATACTCTCAATTTATAGGTAAAAAATAGTCTTGGTTCTTTTGACTAATATTGATTACTTTGTCCGTTTCCGACCCTTTTTGAGTTATATTGCTAAGTTTCGCAAAGTTTATATAACAGCCTGAATTGAGATTACTTACAGCCATTTGTTGCAAATCTGTCTACCATTTACGTGCTACACAAACACGCATTCACACTAGCAGACAAGTATAGGCAGTTTTCGGATGGAGAGAGTAGATAAAGACGACTTGAGCAATATAGAGGACGCTTCTTACGCTCTTCCCCTCTAACCAGGCTGCATTCATTCTAGCCGATAGCTCATGATAAAATTCCTTCGTAATGCACCTTTCCAGGTGCTTGAAGGACTGTTTTTTCTGCTTGGTTCACCACTGATAAATGTTTTAAAATTTTGGCCTTCCTTATCCATATATTCGGTCCTCTTCGTGTTGAGCTTCAAGCCTGCTGCGACTCCATTTTGTTCTTCCAACTCAGCTCTTCTTCAAGTTCTCTTGCTTTCTGCCATCAAGACCATCATCTGCATAGGCGAATCCATGGCGGTTTACGTTTGAGCTCCTCCAAATTGCACCCATCACTATAATGAAGAGCAAGGGAGGCACCGAACGTTGGTGGACTTCTGCTTTGATGTAGAACCCTTTGAGAGGCTGGCCGCCGTCTGCCCATTGTTAGGTTCATAATGGACATTCAATCCATTCGATATATTTTTCCTACATACGAGTTTTCGCAGCGCCCACCATATAACATTATGAGGTACAGTGTCAAGAGCCTTCCCAAGTTTATGAAATCCGCATGTAATTCTTTTGTTCTTATATTTCTACCAAGGATCATGAGTGGCTTCAGCATTACTAGAACATTTACAAAGCCGCATTGATTTGTGACAACTCTATAATCTTTCGAAGTCGTGTCTCAAATATCTCCTCAAGATCTTTAGAGTGTTGCCCACCAGTCGAATTAGTCAGCATGTTATGCGATCTGCGACATCATTATTCTTCCATATTGGGTTTTGTGCTGGCGGGTAGACCAGTTACGAGGATGTTCTTAGCTCTGACGATTTTATGGAGAGAGTCAAAAAGCTTAAGATCTTTCACTTTCCAGAACCCCTTGGAGATGTCATCTGGACTAGTTGCCTTACTTTTTTTCCTTCCCATGTGCCAAACTTCCTTTATTTATGTTGGATGGCACTGGTCCTTGTACAGGATCAGCGGGCAATGCTGCTGACAGTGGAGTCTGTAGGTACGATCTCTTCAAAGTATGGCCGACATCTTTCTACGATGTGCTGTGGTTTTCTTAATGTTCTTCCAAGTTTTGCTCTATTTTGATAGAAGTGCTTTATATCAACCTGCTCTTCTCGAGATTTGATACACTTCTCGTTCTCCATCGATTTTAACCTTCCATATGTGCGCCTGCTTCGCGTGCACAAGCTTTAATTCTGTGCTTTGCTTATTGTTATTTCTGGCAGTCTCTTTTGATTTCGATTTACACCACTGTTTCCTCTTCTCTTGTATCACCGCCCGTGATTCATCAT